TGGAACAAGTGTCCTCGATCTGCGACAAGGATGATCACATAGTCGTGGTAATTCCCTTTGACATCCTCTGATTTGCAAAAGCTCAAGATGTTTCACCTCTCTCATTCTCTCTCTCTTTGTGCGTCTTACTTTTTGGTATCTTGAAGGGATGTCAAAGTGGAGTGCGATCTCTGCAAGCTACAGAGGAACTTCTCAAAGCTGTAAGTAGCTCTCATATTTGTTTTGCTATCAATTTGTGATTTGGGAAAGGGATTGAACTCAATGAGGTCATAAATTGAAGCATTAAGGATGGGTTTTATCCCCTTTTTTTTTTGTCAGATAGAATCTTAGGATTGTGATCTTTATATCAATGAGAGGGGTAGAGGTCAAATAGTAGCAGGGAACAGAGCTTGTAAATCAATTCAAATTCTTGTCTGATGTGAGACTAAACTGAAATGTTCCATATGGTAGATGCAAAATGCAGTTAGACAATTTGCATGTATAATGAATGAATGGTCTAACATAACTCTCTCCACATTCTGAATTCTCTTGATTGATTGAGATGATGCCCCTCAACATGTTATAATTCCAAAAATCAATAGTGATCATCAACTATTGTCTGATTGAGATTTTTTTGTTAGCATAAAGTATCAGGCTATGTATTACTGAAATATTGTGCACTTGTCTATTTATAATCCAATAAAACATAAATAAAAATTCATCATTTCTCCAAGACAATGTATTCATAAGACTGTGAAAATTAAAGAGGAAAGAGGTGGGGACAATTTTGTGGACTATGGTGGAGAAAGAGAGGACTAAAGTTCGAGTTGGTAAGCATTTTTGGAATCTTAAGTATATTCAAATTTCTTAGTGAATTAGGATTAAAATTTAGATCAGGGATTCAAGTAAAAAGAGTCGTTAGAGAATTAGAATTTATTCTTTTAAATATACATCGAGTTTTAAGGTTTTGGTGAGAGGGAGAGGTAAAGACACTTTGGGTGCTCCTTAGGATTTCTTTTCGATGGATCCAAAAAAAGTTGAGAGAAGATTTATTTTGGGTTTATGTGAGAGGGGTATCTAGGGGTTTCAGGGTTGGGTTTAGGCTTCCTCAAGGAGAGTGATTCCTTGTATTGATTTTTTTCATATAGTGAAAATTTTGATTTTTTTCGTGAAGATGGACAATGAGTTATCGAGTTATGTTAAATTTTTGTGTTGACTTTTAAGTATGTCCTTTATTTGTTGATCTCTAGGTTTCTCTTTTGGGTTTTGAATTTCTCCTCTCCTCTTTTGGGTTTTAACTTGCAATGCAGTTTACGAGGGCATTATGCGACATTTTAGATCACAAATCAGACTTATCAAACATTCCCCAAATTCTATGTATAAAAGCCATATCCATTGAAGTCCAAGTACCATTAGACACGAAATGTTAAACCACTTGATTCATATCGCTAATGATTAAGAAAGTCAGATGATTTATATTGAGTTTATTCTTTGGTACATCATTTCAACTTAAAAAACTTAAAACTTAACTGTACCAAAGAATAAACTCAATATATATTATCCGACTTTCTTAATCATTAGCGTTTGGTGAAGATTGAAAGGACTATGAGTCAATTCATATCGCTAATGATTAAGAAAGTCGGATGATATATATTGAGTTTATTCTTCGGTACAATTAAGTTTAAATTTTTTAAGTTGAATTGATGTCCAATCTTACATATATTAATCTTAATAAATGACTCATTTGTCGCCAGTTTAGCTGCTAAATCGAGTTGATGCATGTCATTGTGTCTTGGTAAATTAAGCTCGTTATTGTGTTGCAGGGTTTCAAGCATGTAAAGAATATGGGAGGGGGTTATGTTGCCTGGGTGGAGAATGGGTTCCTCGTGAAGGCTCTTCAAGAAGAGTTGTAGTTGCTCTGTCAATTTAAACATTCTCTGTATGTAAGTGATGTGATATGAAAAATGGTGTTGTATTATAAATCACAATACGTTAAAAATGTAGTAACGAAACCAATAACTATGAGTTGGATGAGATTGTTCTTTTGTGAATCACAATTTGTTTGAATTGTTATCTTTCAATATACAAATAAGAAAGTATTTTATATCTTCTAAAACGTCATATTTGCCGAAATTTTCTTGAATTATGACACCACTAATTTGAAGCCTTATTTTTATAAAAAGATGAATTTAATCTATTTCACTAGGTGGAATCATAAATCTGACTCATGAGATCTACAAAATTGTATCGATGATGTTACAAAGTTTTTGCTATGCTTGAGTTAGCAAATGAGTTTTAGTGACTTTGGAGTGATCGAGTGAATCCAATAAAGTTCCTCCTATGCTTCCTATGCTTGAGTTAGTAAATGGGTTTAGATGTGTGACTTCTCCGATAGTGATTGGGTGAGTCGAATATATGATTGTGGATATGTTCTTCCTATGCTTGAGTTAGTAAATGGGTTCAAATGCATGACTTCTCCGATAGTGATTGAGTGAATCGATTGAATGAATCGAATGTATGACTTCTCCGATAGTGGGTGATAGGTGCGTTGAATTCGAGAATTATAGACTTGCTTCATATTTCATTTATCTATCCTCTATTAAACCAACCTCAAGATTAGTAAAAGTACGTGACGAGGAGTTGTTATTATACTCATATCATTCTACATTTAGAAGATTAGTAATATCCATATAAAAGTATTTTAGTGATATAAAACTCATCATCTCAATCAACAAAGAAGGTGAGGAAGCTTTGCATAAAGAAAACATGGATCAATAATTTAAATATATATTTGAAAATAAATATAAAATTTACATGATTTAATATTTCTTAGTTACATCTTTAAAAAATTGAATTCTTCATGAGAAGAAATTAAATTAATTCAAGCACAGCACAATTCTCTTTAAACATCTTATCTCATAAATTTCAAACGTTTTAAGCATGTTTTCTCATCCTCACTAAAGATACATAAGATTATTTATAAAATAAATAAATCTTAAATCACAAAAAAAATTTCATACTTTGAATTCATAATCCCTAACCTCTTAATCTAATTTAAATTTGAAAGATATAGAGAGATACAAATATTTCTAACAAAACTAGACCAAAGGCCTTACCCATGTCACAGTAGCACTTTTGGAACACAGAGATAGGTACATATATTTCTAATCAAACCAGTGCAAAAGACACAGCAGTTCTTCCAAGTAGCATCAACTTGATGAGCAGTGGTTGTTATCTTCTCGTGCTGGGTGTGGTACACTGTGAGTGTCCACTTTGATGCTCAAGATTTTACTGTCAGTGGATGGGGGACATCGGCCCCTCTTTCTCCCCCCACCCCACGGCTGCCTTGGCTTTCAAGCAAAGCATGAACAGAAAGCACCCTTTGTGGTACGTTTGGTGGATCCAATGCTGAGCCCGTACTCCCACTGGTCCTGTTCAACCTAAATCTATTTGCTGTTGATTTCAGTGGAATTATACGCTTATGTTCCAGTTTTGTAGGTCTCAGTTGATATGAACTCCAAATTCTAGTGTGAGGACTGCATCAGATGATATGAACTCCTGTTTCTGTCAAACCGGTAACTATCTTTGGATTCCCATAACTAATATGATCGAAGAATAATCATTCAAAGACTTGGCTGTTGATGGAGACCCTTTGAAGGCTTTGCACAAAGTCGATTCATGGATCTCGAAGACCTGTAGACAGACCATCAGAGAACCACAAAATAATTGAGTTGATGTTATGATATTTGAACAGTAAGTCTCTTGTAAGATTCTCTTGCTTTTGTACCTCTTTCCTTTCTTTTTCTCCCATTTGATTAGCATTTGGACAACATGAAAAACACTTTTCGTGCATTCGTGATTAGGACGAGAACATCTTTCCCTGTTCTTTAAGCTCGTCATGTTTGACCCCGGAATTGTGCACCGCAATGATCCTCGAGAGCCCACAGCTCCTGCCCACCAATTTGTCTTGAGAGTCATCGGAAGTGTTCATTAATGTTCTTCGAGTTCCTCACCAAATACTATAGTATTTTGATGACAACAATCCGACAAAGCCATCATCTTCAACCTTCAGCCTATAAATCAACCTCTGAAGCCCGGATCAGCAGCGACCAGCGGCGAGGTCGGGACGGAAGGTTCTGAGACCATGGCCATGGCTTTCAAGATGGTAATTCCGATCGACGCCGACGTCACGAGCGGTGACCAGCTTTCCTGGGTGTTGTTGCCTTAACGACTGTGGCTTGTGGGTGGCAGGCGACGGAGGGGATGAGGGTGAAGCAGGAGTGCCTGAGCTCCTTCATGGAGATGAAGTGGAAGAAGGTGAGCCGGTACGTGGTGTACAAGATCGACGAGAAATCGAGGGAGGTGATGGTGGACAAGGTGGGCCGTCCCGGCGAAGGCTACGAAGGCCTCGCCGCCTCCCTCCCCAACGACGACTGCCGCTACGCCGTCTTCGACTTCGACTTCCTCAGCGTCGACAACTGCCAGAAGAGCAAGATCTTCTTCATCACATGGTCTGCTCCTCTCTCTCTCTCTCTCTCTCTCTCTGGCACTTGTCACAGATCTGCTGAGAGAAAGCTGCAAGAAACATGGATGAACTGCGTGCAACATCACTACCTATTATGTGAATCATGTCTGCTAACAATGTACTGCAAAGATCATCTGCTTTTGATGCTGAGACTCAGATCTGTATCTACAGAGTTCTGCTACTCTTTCAGGTCTCCAACGGCATCAAGGATCAGGTCGAAGATACTGTACGCTACCTCAAAGCAAGGGCTGAGGAGGCTGCTCGAAGGGATCCACTACGAAGTGCAAGCCACTGATCCTACCGAGATGGGCTTCGATGTGATCAAAGAGAGGGCCAAATGAGCAGCGGAATGGCCTCCACTGCAGCTGATGCGTTCCTCCGATCAAGATCAGGGGAGAAGACGATGATGTGATTGGAGAACAAAGGCAAACGATATGATTCATCATCAACATATAGATCATTACAACATGCGTTTGTGAAGCATCAACTCCATCCCACCAACTTAAAACCTTAGTAGATTATTTGGTTTTCCTGTTGATCTCATAAAAGTAGCTTAGAACGAGCAGCAGAGCAGCAACTGCAACGCCAAGTGCGCCTTGCTGTAGTATGCTTCTTGTCTTCCCCCTCGTGAGGCAAGTCCGAGGTGGAGTGAAGCCCAGCTCTGATAATTTCTTGTGTGATTCTGCGTAATCTTCGAAGAATTTATCCTCATCCTACCAAAAGAAATCAAACTACGTCAATGTTGAGATCAATGTTGCATGGGGAAGGTCACAACGAAACCAAGCATCGAAGCTACCACGGCGTATAGCACGACGTAGTCTCTCAAGACAGGATCGTCTAACAGAGCCTTATCTGTCGGAAGCTGAAGGAGCCCCTCGTTTTCCCCTTTCACCAATTCCCTGATACAGGACGAAGAACAGTGATCAGGCTGCTTGATGTGAACTTGATGACAGTGAGATAACCATTACGCAAAGTAGGAGTTGTCGAATTTGAGAGGATCCTTTGTCCACGCGCCTTGAAATCCTGATCTCTCTCGATGAGCTCTTCCCTTCATCACCAAGCACAAGAAACTTCCTTTCATTCGAGGATGCTGATACAGTAGTAGATGGGTACAAAGCAGAATGGCTTGAGACATTTACCAGTGTGTGGCCACCGGAGAGTGCCACAATATCCTTATCTGACAAACCCATGCGATAGAAGACGTCCCTCAAATGCGAAACACCTGCATCAAAAGTATTGGTATCGATATAAACTTAATATTAATTTAGTATTTTCATCGAAAAAAATAGATAGACTAAAGATATTGCATCACCCCTCCGACATATAACCAATGTCTCACCTCGTGCCGTTTTGCACCGCAAGAGCGTTAGTCAAAAATCAGCCAATGACACACGAGAACGGTATTGTTTTTGCACGATGCCATACAAGCAGAAAATTTTTCGAGTTTGGCATGACAGAATTATGAAATAAAAACACTTTTGACAAAGTAAAATGAGATTGACGATAATACTTTTTGACCCGTACATGCTACCTGATAGAAAACTCGAAAACACAAGAACCAATTGCAGAGATGCTGGAGATGATTACCTTGGTTTGCATCTGGAAGACGGCCTTCTTCTGGACAAACTGATGAGTCCTGGCACAAGAAGCAGTGGATATTATTGAGCTTGCAGTTCCTGGAAGAAGAAGAGCACTGTCAAATACCTAAACCTTACCTTTCTACCTGGAGCAAATGGAACAGTCGGTCCACCGGTAATCTCCACAGCAACTACTCCAGCAAGCTGTTAATAACATCATGTTCAGCATACAGATGCATTCATTCGTCCTCCTCACTTTACTCTCCAGTGCTTATAACATAAATCTAGTAGTAAAAGATTATTGATTCCCTTGAAGAACCAAATCTTGTTTCAGATAGGATGAAAGATGACTCATGTATCCAAATGCTAGAAGAAAAAAGCTATCTTGCTTGCAATTCTGCAATGAATCAGTACCTGGTAAAGGTCTGCATATGTGATTTTTGGATGTTTGGCCTTCACTGGCTCTGAGATCACAAAGAACAGAGAGCAGCTGACATTAGATTGTAATCTGGACGTGTATTGTTGGTGTGTTAAGATGCAAATGGCTACCTAAAAGATCAATAGCTATTTCAAGTCCTGCATTTGAACCATGAGAGTACTCTTCCTCAAACCTTATGGAACCATTAGGGCCACCAGTTTTTGTTTTCACATCATAAGTACCAGCATCATGCCATCTGCAGAAAGCAGCAGATGTGAGAAGCCATGAGAGTCTTAAGATGAACCAAGCTAACTTCAAGAACTTTATGATCTTGCATTCCAAAATATAGAAATTAAATACCCATAGACACTATCAAGAGCATAAATTGAGTTACCAAAAAATCCCTGCTTGTGTTGAATGGTTGATGCAGTTGGTAGATCCCTTCCTCTGGGTAACAACAACACTAATCCCCTAATTCTACTCTAAGGAAGCATCAATTACTGTAATTAATTTTTCTTTATGAACATGTTCCTTCAAAATATGTCATTTTATGATGACCATTGGGGTATTTCCAGGCTCTATAAGTAGAGTTGCAAACCCTAAATTAATAAAAATTTAGAGACAAATATAATTCCTCTTATTCTTTAAATATATTTTTATTATTTCTAAACTTTATTCTCATATTTCATCATTCTAATATTTTATTTAATCTTGAAGACTCTGCCTTTTACCCAACAGAAATGTCCTGCATTTAACACACAGTATAGTGGAGGAGATAAAGATGGAGGAGCACAGGCAAACAAATGGAATTCGATAGGCACAGATTTAGCTGCAGAATCACGCGAAACTAACTCACGCGAGGCGGAGGATGATAGGAGCACAGTTCTTGCTGGAGATGAGAGCTCGGAGGTCTCTGCGGGCCTTCTCGATCTCCTTGAGGTACTCTGCGTTCACCACCGGATTAGCCATTGTGTTACCCTAAGAAAGCTCTCGCAAAGAACAGAGAGATGCAGCAAAACAACGAGTGGAGGAGGTGATGGGAGCCTGACGGCTTCTCGTTTGGTCTGCTGTTATATATACACGGAGGAGGACACGAAGAAGAAGCAGCAGCAGCAAAAGACGGGAATAAAGGAGAGGAGAACGAGGATGGGAGAGAAGGAATTGAATTCGTGGAGTGGAGAAGGGACAGCTTCACGAACAAGATATCCGTCGCTCACTTTCTTCTCAATGTTTTCGGCTCATTTACATGCCTTTTGGCCAATATATATAAATAAATATATAAATATATAAATATATATGTATATATATGTATGTATGTATATATATATACATATATATATACATACATATATATACCTATATATACATATATATATATAAATAAATACATACATACATACATACATATATATATACATACATATACATATATATTTATACATATATATGTATACATACATATATATATACATACATATATATGTATACATATATATATATATATAAATATATATATACATACATATATATATATATATATAATCAATTTTAGTAGAAAGTGATTCACTTAACTTAGGAGACATCCTCAAAACAAGAGAGTTCCATCACTTAATGCTTATATAGGTATTTTCTAATTGATGAACTTGTTTAAAGTTATATGCATTTCTGACATCTATAGAAAGACAGTAGTAATCTTGCTAAGACTTTCAAATTCACCTTTTTTTGGATGTAGAGAGTTATTTTTGTAATCGTTTTTTTAATCCTAATAAATAATGACATTTTTATCTTATCTTTTATTATTCAAGGAAGTGGAGAGAGAATAATAATAGTCTAAATTTCTATAGATATAAAGTCCTACAGAATTAGTATTTCTTTACAGTGAAAGGAGAAGACACCACCCGATCCGACTAACTTTCTCGCTTTTACTTTACTTCACATACTTTTAGTGCTTTGCAATGGGTATATATATATATATATATATATATATATGTAGGGAAGGTTGTGTGTGATGTGATCGATGAGCCGCGATGGGCCGTCACGAACTCGACGTCGAGGCCATGAGGATTTGAATTCTGACATGGCGTGCGACTCACCTGTCTCAACCAAGACAGGGTACAACGACGCGCACGGAGTTCAGCCGCCTGGCACACAGAGCTGGTGCGGGACCCAAAGCTTCAATTAGAGGTTATGATATGTTTCCTGTCTCCATTGAGACGGGAGAACCCCCATCGTCTCCTTACGTGCGACGCACGGAGACTGGTGCGGGGTTCAGGGAGTTTTTGGCCAAGACAGGGTACATCAATGCCCCCGGAGTTCAGCCCGCCTGGCACAGCGTTCTGGTGGGGACGCCACAGCCTGCTATGTGTTTCCTGTCTCATCGAGACGGGAGAGGCCCTCCTATCGTTCACGTGGCAAGCACGTGAGACCGCCCATGGAGGAGGTTGGTCATTCCACGTGGGCCTCGCCGGACCAGCGCTGCCGCGTGCCGCGAAGCTTCGGAAGGCGAATCCCGTGTTGGACCCACCCGAAATGGCCAATAGAAGCGAGCGCAACTGTGATCCTTATAAGACCCGCGGGACAGAGTACCGCGAATCCGAAACCGGCACGACTCTCCTCCCTCTATAAAGATGGCCTCCGCGCCCCTAATTGAGGCTGCTCTTTCCTCCGTCGGCGGAGCTCTAACCCTAGTTTTCTTTTATTTCTGTCTCCGCCGCTTTCCCCGTCCTGATTCTGATCTGCGGCCCACTCGCCTTCGATCCCGCTTGCTTCGAGTCGCTTGATTCGATTGCCCCTCGATCGATCTCTGGCCTTGATCCGTGTGCCCCTCGATCGAGAGCGACGAAGAGACAGTGGGAGCACGATGTCGCGGTGCTTTCCGTACCATCCGCCGCACATCGAAGAGTCCTTGATCGAATCAATCAAGGTTTGTTGAGCATCAATGCCGCTGCGATTGATTTCTTGCATTCTTGCTCGACTTCCTTTATTCGCGATCCGTTCGTCGCCACGATCTCTTGGTCACTTTAGTCTTAGATCGAACGAATTCTTGCGAAGTTGGAGTTCATAAGTTTGTAATCATATGTCAAATGGATAGAGGAATTGTAATCGACCACAATATGATTGGATTTTATTCCGTAGATAGTATTGTTTAGGAAATTGGTTTTTTGTTATTCTTCTGGTGGATGGCTATGGAGTTCTTATGAAGATGAGTTGTTGGTTGGTAGATGAGATGCTCAGGTCAATTACAAGACTATTAAGCGGTTCTCTACACGAGTCTTGAGCTTTGAATTTATAGATCTCCTATGAATAAGCAATTAAAAGTGGATCTGCCAAGGCTAGATGTGGTACAGGTATGGGGAGCACTCTGATGTCAGATTAAGAAATTCCGAATTGGATCTTGATATGATTGATGTGGACGATTAAAAGAAATCCTTAGGAGTTGATTTGTAGGTATACTATGAAAAAGCAATTCACATTTGCAACAGATCCAGTTATTTTTGCGCTTTCTTTTAATTGTCGGACCAGTATTTTGGTGGAAGTCATTTGATGGAAATCATGGATACTATCAAGAACCCTTGTAGTAGTTGCACTTTCTTTGTATTCTCTTTTTAGATGTTCCAGTTGTGGCATAGTAATTTCAAGGCAAAGATGAACGACTTGATTCCATTGGATTCTCATCAATGTATTTGCACTTAAAGTGAAATGGTTGTTTATATTAATTATCATGAGAGGTCTAATTATATTAGTCTCCTAATAAAGTTTATTAGCAAACAACTCCATCTTATGTCTCAAGCATAGCATCTGAGTTTTGAATGCTATCGGATTATTATGTTAGAATTTTGTTTAGAGATTGAGGAATGCAGTCAGATCTAAGAGGATTGGCAATTTATTAACAGTAAAGCTTTTACTCTAGTTCTAAACATTAATGTTAACAATCTGTATTGTTGAAAATTCTTGTTTGTTTGAAGTTCATATCCGTTGTTACTTTTTTTTGGAATATCTGAGCTTGAACAGATATCCGGGTTCAAATCCCGGCAACGGATTTATGACCAAAAAGAAAAAAAAGAACCTTGTAATTATAATATTCTTGGTCACTCTCTTGACAGGACTTCTTCATAGTTTGACTGCTAATGTAAATTGAGTCTTAGGGGAATGAATGATAGTGCATAGAAAATTTTTGGTTTACTATTTTCTTTAGTAATCAGGGTGAACGTATCAAAGATGCAAAGGTTCCTAAGTTCTTATTGGTAAACTAAATATTAGTTAAATGATTGGCTATATATTGCTATAGTGATTGTGTGTTTCCTGTTTTCCTCTCCTCATTTCATTACCGTTCTGCCCTTTCTACTTGGAGTGTTTTTTTTTTCTCAAAAATGATTTTTTTAGCAGCTGTGCAATTGGGTGTTTTGTGTAAGATAGATGTGTCAAAATATAAAATATGAAACATTCTGAGATAGGCATCTCGATCCTATAATTGGGGGATACAATTGTTGTATGCAAACTTATAATAGATTTTACTGCTGGTAATTGGTTTGGGATTTCAGGAAGAATCTCTAATATATCTTACTAGGAGATTGAGTTGTAAGAACTGGTTTTGGAAGAATGTTATTCTATTTGGACTTTTTTGCTCAATGTGAAATATCATGCTATTGAAGCCTAAAGAGTGTACTATTATATTGACTCGTACCTGTGTAATACATTCTCCGGTGTGCCTCTCTGCTTTGCTTCCCCACTGTATATTCTTTGCTGGGGTTGACTATTCTTCTGGTGCACTGAAGCTCCAAAAAGAAAGCCAAAAGGCAAAGAAGAAAGAAAAAAAGAGGGAGAGAAAGGAGAGGGAGAAGACCAATGAAAAGCTTGTGAACTCTCAGCACGAGGAGAACCATATCAAGAGAAAGCATGAAGAGAAGAAGTTGGATCAGAATTTGTTCAGCCAAAAGACCAGCAATGATGTTATCCAGCAGCTGGAGAGAAGTGGCATTACAGAAGAACATGAGCTTCCATGTTCCATTCAGTATTCCCACGACTCCCCTGAGAGCTCTCAGGACAGCAATAAGAGGAGAAAACTTCTGCCCTCTGATTCTGGTCATAACAAGCATGGTACATTTTAGCTTTTTCGTCATGTAGTGTTCCCTCTTTTTGAGCTTTGCATAATTTTAAACAATGACACTTATGTTTTCTTCTATTCTTCATGAAGGAATTATCATTCGCATTAAGTTGCCAACATTGAAGCAAAGAGACTCAAAGCCACCATTACTATCGGTGAGGCAAGAAGATGCACAGCTACCATTGGCATCCTTGAAGAAAAGAGAGCCTAAGCCACTATTACCATCGGTAAGGCAAGCAGATGCACAGCTACCATTGCCATCGTTGAAGCAAAGAGAGTTGAAGCCACCATTACCATCGGTAAGACAAGCAGATGCACAGCTACCATTGCCATCGTTGAAGCAAAGAGAGCCAAAGCCACCATTACCATCGTTGAGGCAAGCAGGCACAAAGCTACCATTGCCATCGTCGAAGCAAAGAGAGTTGAAGCCACCATTACCATCATTGAGGCAAGCAGACACAAAGCAACCATTGCTCTCGTTGGAGCAAAGAGAGTTGAAGCCACCATTACCATCGTTGAGGCAAGCAGACACAAAGCTACCATTGCCATCGTTGGAGCAAAGAGAGCCAAAGCCACTATTACCATTGGTGAGGCAAGCAGACACAAAGCTACCATTGCCATCATTGACAAAAAGAGAGTCGAAACCACCATTACCATCGTTGAGGCAAGCAGATGCACGACTACCAGTGCCATCGTTGAAGCAAAGAGAGCCAAAGCCACCATTACCGTCCGTGAGGCAAGCAGATGCACAGGTGCCATTTCCATCGCTGAAGCAAAGAGGTCCAGAGCCACAGGACACTCAAACAGCTGCGCAAGTGAATGTGGTAGTCAACAACAAATCAAAGCAGATAGCTGATGAACGTCCTGCGGTTGATGAACAGCCGTGTTCTTCAGGCAGGGCTGTGGAAACTGGTCTTGATCGAGAAGCAGCTGCACCTTCGCATAGAACTACCAGTTCGAAAAGGATTGGCAGCAGAACACGGCAACAGGAAAAGTTTGATGAATTAATAGTGAATTGGAATCCATCGCCATTGCAGTTGGAGTTGGAGTCTTCAGACGCAGGTGGCGACGACTGGTTGTTTGGGGCTCCAAAGCAGCGGGGCACCAGTTCGTTTGCTGCTGAGAGCAAATCCAGCAATGGAAGTGGAAGTAATGCCATTTCTTCTCCGCAGCCCCGAGCCCTCTACTTGCCTGAATTCGATATGTATCAGCTGCCTTATACAGTCCCGTTTTAAATTCAAGGGACATGAATCGATGCAGTCAGAAACATGTTCTGTAGCCTAGCCAACATTTTAAAAGATCGGGAGAACATGCTGCATTGCAAGGCCGAGCAAAAAAGGTGTCATCTATTTTCTTTGGGATTGGCTGTATGCTTGCAGTTCCCTTCAGAGTTCTTGTCCTGATCCAAAATGTTTGGACCCCTGCCTAACCGCAAACGGGTTTTGATCGAGGAGGAAGTCGAATTCGTGTATGTATTCTTATCCTCTTAGGCAACGAGTACGGATGATGGCGTCGAGTGATCAACACTTTTGTGGTTCACATTTCAATAGTTATTATTTCTTTTGACCTCTTTTTCTCGTACTAATAAAAATCTCTCGCTTTATGCTTTCACCGGCATGCTGATGCGCACGCACAAATCCACAATATATATACATATATAATAGATTTATGTTTGTATATAGCAACTAATTAAAGCTCGAAGAACGGCTCCATCGACTTCGCAGGTACGCCTCCCAGGAACCACAGTGACTCTGCTCGACGCTGGCGACGGATGCATCGTCGTCCACGTCAAGCAATGCGAGGCTCGGAGTCGGATAGGCTTCGTCGTCTGGACAATCTACCACCTCCGACATCCCATCCGCTTGGCTGCTTATCCATGTCTCCATGTCCTCTTCCCCTTTCAACAGGCTGCAAATCTATAATCCACAACAAATGGTCATCAGCAGATCCAGTTCCTAACCAAAAAAAGTATTATGGTTCACTTGCCTTGTCGATTTGAGGTCGGATACGAGGTACCCTCGTGATACAAAGAGATGCAGCTAATATCATTCTGCTCATCTCACCTTTATCATGATTCGTACCGAGATTGGGATCCAGCAGATCTATGAGCTCCCCTCTCTCCAGAATTCGCGTCGCCTGGAAACATTTGCGTGCTTGGTTAGCAATCGAGACATGCAATGGTATCGAGGGGGAGAAGGTACTTACCCACATCACCAAACTTTCTTCGCCTTTAGGATTCCCATCATCTATCGGCTTTCTTCCTGTTAACAGCTCCAATAGAACCACGCCGAAGGCATAGACGTCATTCTTGTTGCTGACCTTCCCATACATGAGGTACTCGGGTGCAAGGTATCTGCAAAGCAATCATCTCATTTACAACTCAAGCATGCATTTGTCGTTGTAATTTTGGCACACGGCTGAGATCGAAAGGAACTCACCCAAAGGTCCCAACAACATCACTTTGTGTCAGGTTGGTCGCGGCTGTCGGCGCCCACATAGCTAACCCAAAATCCGATAACTGTTGCGCAGGCTTTGTCAGTACAAGAATTTGGAGCTGCAAACACGATGACCAACATTACCTGAGGCTCAAATTCGTCATTGAGAAGAATGTTGGAAGACTTGACGTCTCTGTGGATCACTGGTCGACGACAGCCATGGTGAAGGTAGCTGAGAGCCTCAGCAATCTCCGTCGCCACTCTAAATCTCATGTCCCACGGGAGCAGATGCTTCACCTTGTCACCTGTGTTTCGTCTAATGCACATCAGCAGAAGAAAGCCATGAAGCCGTAACACGCGAACTGTGGTAACTTAACCGTGTAGATTTTGCTCCAAGCTTCCATTGGGGAAGTATCTGTACACAGAAATGAGAGCGTGCTCCCCAACGCAGATGCCCAGTAATGGAACCACGCGCAGGTGCCTCAGCTTGGTGATGATATCGACCTCCGAAAGGAAATCTTTTGATGCTTCTGCGGATAGCTTTGACAACTTTATAGCAACCTGCTGTCCATTCCCAAGCCGGCCTCTGTACACTCGGCTGCTTCCTCCATTCCCAATCAAATTCTCTGCAACAATTTGATGTTTACCCACCGATCTCACATCTTAGATAAGGATGTCTGTGCTTTAGAAGGAGAACCTGAAGAGAACCGATTCGTTGAACTCTGGAGCTCCTCATACTGAAACCATCTGCAGCTCGAGTTGCTGCCACTGAGAACCGTGTTCAACTTCTCGATTAGCGGCAACAATGGTTGAGCCGACGACAGAGTTCGAGCCGGTAAGTTCATCACCCGCCGGACAAGCGACAGTCTCCAAGCACGGTTGGCCCGCTTCACCTCGATGCTTCTTAGTGCTGCTTTCTTCTTCAGCAGAGGACACTCGAACACCGGCTCCGGCAGCTGTCTCATCAGCACCGTAACAGAGCTCAGAACCGCTTCCACCATTTCCCCTTTGACATGGTTGCTGTCAGATGATCTCGAGGCCTCTACAACAGTCTTCTCCTCATGCTTCCGTATCGCGAGTGCTTCAGATGGATACAGAAGATTCCGTAGACTTTGACGGCGTTGTAATTCTTGAGAGACAACACTCCATGAGTTCCGAATCCAGCGAGAGATTTCGTTAGGACAGAGAATCTGGAGGAACTCACCTGGAGATGGCTCGGCAGCTCCTCTTTCGAAGACGACATTTCCTTTTCGAACGGCGATCAAGGCAGTGGTCGGAGGGAGATTCTTAGCACAATACTTGGCGAGTGGAGCTGAGCGACTGAAGGAAACTGTATCAGATTTCCACAGAGAAGGAGAGAAAACAGAACAATGAGTTCCACAACAGAGGCTTTCTATCACCTACAAAAATGAGCTCTTCTTCTTCATTCCAACCACCACTTTGATGGCTGCACATTGCTTGGCCTCCTTCACCAGCGCTCTCCTAATAGAACTTCCCCGAGCGATCCGTCCCGCAAGAACAACCTGGAGGCCACGCATCGGTAAAAGATCACGCTATTTCTTCGTCGAATTCATGATGAGAATGCCCACAGACTCACCTGCTTGAGACTGCAAATGCCTTGATAGGATGCCAGATGGTCATCTAACGTGCTTGCCAAAGACAGTGTGGTCGTTTTCTTCAGATCTGAAAGAGAAGCTCGTCATCGGCAAGCAATCAAAGACAAGGTGTGCTCGTCAGATCGAAGTACCTGAATCACGGCAGACATGGACGGCCATGACACGGTCTCCTTGCTCGGCGACTTTGTGGATTGCCCAGTCGAGCAATTCCTTGCCCTTGGCGTTCATCTGAAGACCCACCATTATACACCGGGATTCCCCCTGCTTCTCTCCCTCGAGCACGGCCATGCGCTGCCTTCCAATTGGATTCCCAGAAAACACTCTTTCAGATGGTTCAATGTATGCCGCAAAAATGTGGAAGAAAGAGCAGAGGCCACCAGTCTCTCCCTCAACCTATTTGTCGCGTCCCAGGATGAGCGTTCCCTTCGACATATGGATCTACCGCCACACGATGATGACGACGGAGCTTAGTTGAGCCGCAGTTTTCTAGTACCGGAAAGGAAAAGGAGATTTAGGAGAGATCAAGAAAGAATTAGGAAGCGAGTACAGAAGCAGCCATTGGACAACAACCAAAAAAGGACAGGAGGAGGAGAAGAAGAAGAAGAAACAGAGTGCCCCCGCGACTTGAGGACGATCACCAGACTCCAACGTAAGAGAGAGAGAGAGAGAGAGCGCGCGCGCTTCGGTTGAGAGTACCCGCCACCTTTGTCGCGGGAAACACGAGATGACCGGCCACCTATAGCGACCAATGCAACGGATAGATGCGGCAATAACGTGCAGGAGAGGTATTACGGTGATGGGAGCTGCTTAACTGCAGCTAAACGCCTATTGGATATCAACTGTCCGATTGCTTGACGCTGATATATGTTGCTTTATATTATTAGGTGGGTAACAGAAGAACTAAAATTGACAACAATATATATATATATATATATATATATACATATATATATATATATATATATATATATATATATATG